CCCCAAAACCCCAAAACCCCAAAACCCCAAAACCCCAAAACCCCAAAATTTAAATAATTTATTGAATGGATTTAACCAAAGTAAGCTCACTACTAAAGTATATAGGCTAATCGGCAGCAAGGTATTTGTCCCTTCTAGTCAATACATCTTAGCGTGGAGCCAAGATTCCTGTAACCAAGCTTATAGAGCAGGCACCAAGGCAAAACTGTACAAGCAAGTTTACTTGGAACCATAAAGCCATTGAAACCTGTAAATAAGCTCAGCAGCAGTCGAAGTACAACTCTTGGCTTTATTTATCTGTAGAACGCATCCGGATTAGCATGAGAGAAGTGGAGTGCCTTCTTAGCAATAAAGGAGGCCTTGTTAACCCCTTCGGGCCTGGGTTCCAGTTTAGTACCAGACCAAGCATCACCAAGCAAAAGTTTGACTATAAGCAAGTCTGGAAAGAAGTAATTGCCATTGCTCATACCTAGGTGTATAAGTATACCCAGGGAGAATCCCTTGCGAAGGGACTTCCAATCACAGATTATATTATTCAGGAGAACCTGAAGAAAGACATAATTTGCCACATCAAACTTCTGAGTAACGCGAAACATCTGTTGTTCCAGGACAAAGAAATGTTCAGAGATTACCTGGCTGAGGTATTCATTGATCCTCTGCTTCCGAAAGCAGAGTGGAACAATAAAGTAAAATAACCTCGTTATGGAATTACAGTAACAGTCTTAGTAATAATATAACTAGACATCTTATTAAGGATGAAGAGTTCTTTCAGGAACTCAAATAATGTAAGCTATGAGGCTGTGCTAGATTCAAACTTACATTACAATAGGACAAGTTCCCGATGACAAAGAAAGTAGAGAAGAAGCTCAAAGGCTTACTGGCAGCTCAAGATCTCAATGATTGTCAAAGTACTTTTGGATGTCTACTCCAATACAGAAAGCAGTCTTTCCCCAACCAAGAGGAAAGGTCCTACAAGGGCGAACAGCTCAAACACATTAGTGTCTTTTGTTGAGTTGTCAATGAAGAAGAAAATAGAATCAAACAGTTTCAAGAGATCAAAGCACAAGTAGGCCTTGTCTGAACGACCATTCATAGGGTTGAAACATTAACCAAGAAGAAGATAGTGAGGTTTCTGTTTACCATAGATCAAACGATTCTTCAACTCAAAAGCATTTCTCAAGCACCAAGAACGGTTTGGCAATCTCCTGGATGACTCTAACTCATTTGAACGGTTCAATGCATATAAGAGAACCAGCTTCCTGACCACGTTCAGCAGCCAAGCTGATATGGCTCAGCGTAGTAGGCTAGCCATATAAATTATAGAGAAAATGAAGAAACATAAAGGTACTTATTAATGCTATTTCAGGCAGGAAAATGACAAGTTCATCCAAAATCAGAGACAAACAGCCCAGTAACCTCAAAAGCCTCAAGAAAAATTGTATATTCTGCATAACTCCTAGTTTTTAGAGATGTCAGGTCACAAGGAGGTCCTAGGAATGACAAGTAAGTGCAGTTTTTGATTATCTCTTAGAAAAACTCTTGGAAAGAGTCGCTTCAATAAGTCTTTCAAGTATGGTAAAGAGAAGGAAAAGACGATGGATCAGACAATTACTCAAACTCCTAAGAAGAAAAAACCGTATGCTTCCGTTCCCTATCTCTTCTTTTCTACTTTACTTTGATGTTTGACACATTAGGTATGCACTCACTCAAAAGTTCCTGAGGAGCAAAGAAATCATCCAGAATCAAGGCATGATTTTACGGCTAAAACCAAGGCTACGAACAGGGTACAACTTGGGGCGTTCAGAGAAGCCTAAGAGGTACACCAGTCCTAGAACAACCACATTTCCGAAGCCAGGAAACCTGCAGAAGATCATCAGCACAATGAAGAGGGTCAGGTCGCCGGAAGTGCGATTTGGGAGGTAAACAGTTTATCTATCTTTAGCTTGCACAATTTCTTTGACCAACGGAAAGACCGTAAAATGATGTATCCTCAGAAGTGGGTAGGCCCTTCCTTGGCTCATCCATAAGACTTGACAAGTTTCACAAAGGTGAATTTGAAGGAATCCAAAGATAAAAATCTATTTTTAGGTATGATCCAGAACAAGCTGAGAGACTTGTAATCAGAAAATTCTTGCATTCTAAGATATTCAGGATCAATATCTGTGAACACTTCAGGGGTTTTGGGGTTTTGGGGTTTTGGGGG